TGTCAATTAGTTGATTCTTTTGATATGGTAAGACCAGAGCAGAGAACGTTTATAAATTTATATTATTATTATTATTTTTAAAATATTTTTTCTTGAAAAATTTGTCACAAAAAATTTTTGATAAAAAAAAATTAGTTTTTGAAAATATGCCATGTCAAAAAATATTAAAAAAAGTGACAGTGAAAGCTCTGACATAAGTATAGCATTATGTGTTGCACTCTACAATAATTTGAGTTATAAATTTTTTTACACCGAATTGGGTAAAATGTGTACATCACAATTTTACAAATCTATACAATTTTTGATAAAATATTTTTGAATATGTAATTTTGTAGTCCATTATACTTTAATGTAATAAAGTGCAAGTCTTAAGCTACTGCAAAATTGTGTTGATTTTAATATTTTTTATGCTGACGGCTTTTTGCACTTTTTTCTTGTGGAAAAAAATGCCTAAAACCGTTTTTAAAGAATATTAAAAAAAAAACTAACGTGAGTTTTGCAAACGCTTAAAATTTGCACTTTTCTTAATTTTAATGGGCTACAAAACTGCATACTCAAAAAAATTCTAGAAAAAATTTTAAAAATCTGTAAATTCGTAATGGACTTTTTATTCAACATTTTTGTTAAAAAAAATCTTAACTCAAATTATTGTAGAGTGCACCCCATAATACTATACTTAAATATTGCGCAATACTCAGAGCTACCATTGTTATTTAAAATTTTTTTTTGAGATGCCATATTTTCCAAAACTTACTTCTTTATAAAAAAATTTGTATGTGAAAAATTTTTCAAGAAACAAAAAATTAAAAAATATTTCTTTTCATAGAGAATTTCGATGTGTGTATGTGTGATTTTTTTCAAATTTTTTCCTCGCCCCGTTCTCGAAACATTTGCAAAACTATTAAATAGATTTTTTTTGTTTTGTGCTGTAAAGCCTTTAAAAATGTGTTAATCAAGCTCAAATTTTATATTTATTTATTATTTATGTTTATCCATCAACCCTAAAATTTTGAAACAAATCAATTACATGAAGTGTGAACCCCGTTCATTTTGGTATGGAACGCCCCATATAGCTTATCATTATACGGCGCCCACATACACAGACCGCGGGTAATTTGCACTGTACTGTTGATCAATGTATGTATGAAGCTTTGAACACGACTTACGAATTTTCAGTCTAAGCTATGCAACAGAGTGTTAGTGGAAACTGCTGTTAATTGCAAATTAGATGTTTAAACCAGAAAACGTTTAAGCCAGTAAAGATTTAAACTAGAAATAAATACTTTTTTATTTTCCACAGCAGAAGTTTCAAATTAAGAAATACGTACGGCGTACGCACATATGTCTTTTTAAATGCATTCATTACATGTTCAAGCAGATGGCGACCCTACTGGTAGCAAAATTTTGATAGCCACGACAACTACCATTGGGCAGTGTTAAAGGCACCAATTCGTATGTACTTTTAAAGCTTGCAAAATATGCCGCTAGATGCCATCTCAATCATTAAGGTAGAAGTACAGGTAAACAGGGCTGGCATGAACGTAGAAAATAATTAGAAAACGTTGGGAAAGAATTGTGGAGCTAAAGGGAAGCGAGATGTATTTTCCTTAAATAAAATATAGAGCCCGAAATAGTAAATTAGTGCGAATAGCTTGAAATGCTGGTTAACAAGAAAAAACGTCCGAAAATTTAACCTAAAAGTTAGGCGGCTTTCCGAAGGTTTCGGGACAAGGCTAGACTTCTATAAGAATAATTAGGGTGACCTAGTGATTGATATCCAGAAAATACTTAAATTATGTAGGGAACTCCTTTCCACCTTTTGAACGATCCGAACATTGAAAGTAGTGGACAAGATGAACCAGAGCCCCCAGTCGATGACGACGAAAGCAATGTCCTACTGCCTGACTATGGCCAGGTACGAATTGCAATTACGGAAATAAAAAACAGCAATGCTGCTTTGGCTAACGATCCACCAGCTGAGCTATTCAAGTACGGCAGCGAGGAGTTATTAAGGTACTCAAGTGCATGTATCATCTTTTATGCAAAATATGGTTAGAAGAATGCATGCCCGTCAATTGGAATTTAAATAAGTTCTGCCCTATTCTTATATGTACGCCAAACGCGGAGTCTTCCATCTAGACATTCGGACGATGGGACTGTATAGGCCCGTTTACATACAACTTTGGCGTTGCGTTGGCGTTGGCGTTGGTTTGACAGAACGCACGTTAAAAGTATGCTTGCTACAATGAACGCTTGGCGGCGAATCCTTGGGCCACTAAATTAACATATTAACGACAGATAAATTAATATTTCATATCAATAATTGCATTAAAAACGATATTTCTTGCCCGCACTTGATTAAAAAGGAAAAATATTTCACATAATTTTATTTATTCGCAACAGCTGACGAGCGACGCACGCGAAAAGTTGAGAGTTGGCCATCTTTTTGCTTTGTGTTGGCGTGAGCGTTGTCGAATTTTGGCTATGTGGACGGCTGCATTTGAATTCATGTATTCATAGTCAGCTGTTGAAGCGACGCCAACGCCAACGCAACGCCAAAGTTCTATGTAAACGGGCCTTATGAGCTTTACATAGCGGAGCGAATTAAAATACAGCGGCTCCGATTGCTTGGCCATGTCATTCGAGTGGATGCAAATGATCTAGCCCTGAAAGTATTTGATGCGAATAGGTGTCCTCCTCTGGGTTGGAGATATTAGGTGGAGAACAACTTAACTCCACTTGGCGTCAGTTAGCAAAGAAGAAAAACGACAGGCGCTCTTAATTGGACTCCTCTAAAAATCAAGAAAAAGAAGATGAAGGGAAAGGAAAATCCTCAGATAGTTTCTAACAAAAACACATATTTTTCTATAGTAAAATAATTCGAATTTTCGAGGCCCTTCTTTTTAATGAAATATTAAATTTAAATACCTCGCAGACCAATCAGTCTCTCATTATTTATACTGAAAACGTTCTAGAAGCAGGTTGACCTGCAAATAAGAGTGGATAGAAGAAGCCTTCATTCATGAAGATTTTGCGGTAGGTGACTCCTTCGATATCAAGGGGACTTTTAATAATTTCCTACCGGAGGCAATAGTTAAGTCGTATGATAAGCTTGGAGTTGAAGTTAGTCTTATTCCCGCAGAGAGGTGTCCTCTCACTCTAATTCTGGGTCGTGATGGTGAATGATCTAAATACTAGAAGAGAAACACGGTTTTCGGGTAATTGCCTACACAGACGTTGTAGCGGTATCTAAAAATTGTTACTAACTAGGCGGCTCGCCGGCAATCACAGTAAGATGGAAGTGGTGTTATTTACTAGAAAGTATAAAATCCTTGATGCTGTTCTTCCGTCTGTTGGAGGTCAGCGCTTACACCTTTCTGACAAGCTCAAGTACTTGCGCTTGAAGAATTTGTCGCGGAGGCCAAAGGTATAGGAAAGGGAAAAGAAGGCATCAGTAGCCTTATACTGTTGTAGGGGAGCTTTTGGAAAGAGATGGGGTATTTCGCCATATGTTATCTATTGGCTCTACAAGACCGTAGTCAAGCCATATGTTTTATGGCACCCAACTCTGGTTTTATGGCGCCCAAGTCTGATGGAACTCATTTGATAAGGCTACACTAGCTAAGCACCTCGAGACGTAGAACTGGCAGCTTTTAATTAGTATTAGTGGGCCCAGCGGTATTAGTGGGCACAACGGACCCACATTGGCACTTAATGTAATTCTGAACGTAGTGCCTGTCTACATTGTAGGAAAACTTGCTGCAACGCGAACAGCTCTGGAGTTCTAGGGGGCTTCGATTTCCTTCCTGATCGCACGGATTTCTGCGCCACCGAAGTGGTTCCCAGGAGTTTCTTCTCTGCCGACTTTCCCTCAAGGTAGGATTGCGCTGGGCGGAACTTCTGGGGAGGTGGAGCAGTGAATTTCTCTAAAGATAAATCGAAACTCAGTGGTTTTGTTGATGAAGGGGTATTAGGTCGAGAGCTTTCCATCAGTACTAAATTCAGGATTTCGGACTGCTGCAGAGTATTTCAAATGGAAGTGGCTGCTATTAAGGAAGCGGCGAAGGCACTACAGTTAGGGAGGTTAGCATTTCTTATGATATCCAAGCGGGTATCAGGGCTTTAAGTGCGTTGAAGGTGTGCTCTAATTTGGTTAAAGAATGTCTTCTCTCTGTCTCAGTTGCGTCGGAATGCTTATCTGTTACAGTGTCATTGTGGGGAACCGTGTGGTTGACGTATTGGCTATGAAAGGTACCCTTGAAACGTTATCGCCGGATAAAGAGCGGCTGGGGGTGCCATTGATCATATTTGGTAGCGCTGGGGAAAACGAGGGCAAGGAGTGGGTGAGGGCACTCCCCACACTTAAAAAGCCAAAGCTCTCACTCTTGGTGCGGTGTTCAACGGATCACTGTCCCATCGGTATTCCCGCAGTATGGCTGAACATATTACCTGGTCCCGTTAGGTTGAAGTACTCTGGCTTTCACATAATGGCATCGGGGAGCTCTGGGGCATTGGGTGCCGTTGAGAATGTGGTATCACAAAGGACAATCTCCTAATTGTCTAAGTGAGTTCCTCACATATGGGGTTGCTACCTAACCCTAAGCTAAAATAGCTTATTTGTTTAGGAAGTTTTCCTTCAACTAATAATAATGCTTTGATAAATATTTTTGTTTTATTTTTTATTACTTTATCAATTAAACAATTTTGTAAAAAAATACTATCCGTATAAATGTACATACAATCTTTGGCATTTGAGTTAATATAAATCCATAATTTTTATTCTTTAATCATAGCATTGGAAGCAGTTAGTTTACACACATTTAATTCATACTGGCTTTTAGTAATCATAAACTTACGACTAATTGTAGAAATATGTAAATGTAAAGGACTACAAACTAAAATTTAGTCTTTACCTATTACCTCCTTTTATATTAAAATTTTCGTTACTTTCTATTAAAGCAGAGACCTTTTCTTTTTCAAATGTTAATCAAGCAAAAAACACCCATCGCTTAGTCTAATACTTGTCGCTTCCCTCACCAAGGCCGCCAGACATCACCCATTTGCTGCAGCTCAGCTTGCCGTTCCAATTCAGCGCTGCTGTAATCAGACTGAGAACCGACAGGCTGCTGGTGGTATTGCGGTTGTAGGTATTGTTGACTATGCTCCAGCTGCCCACCGCCACTAAGCACTTGTCTCAAGCGTTTTCGTTCGAAAATTTGTTGTCGTATTTTCAGTAGAATATCACGTTTGTCTTGGTGTTGTTGTTGCGATTGTTGTGGCTGCTGATAATTGTGCGAGTTTTGCGCTAATTTTTCATATACCTCAGGAAGTAAGTTGGAATTGGGCAGAGTGTTGCTGCTCATAGTTATACATTTATCTGTTAAAACTGTGTGCGTTGAAAATGTTTCTGATTTAAGATTTGTTTGTCTTCCGGTGCGTGAGCTGACTTGTAATGAATTGGAGTTGTTGTTGTTGTATTTAATTTGTGCTGATTTGCATTCATTGCTTATGCTTTGAATTGGGTTGTGAGATGTTGTATATTCATAGTCTCCTTGCGTTTGCTCATCTTCCACAAATTCATTGGCTTCTCTAAGAAAGTTCTCATAATATCTGCGGGCATTCATTTCCTGATTCTGCTGGAGTTGCTGTAAATGGTTAGGAGGAAATAGAGGTTTGAGATTATACATAATTTGACAAAGATGCAAGAAAGATTATATGTATGCATACGATTTCTTATTTTTAGTAAAACCCCAGTAAAAGTGAAATCAATACCGAAAAAGTGTTTGATCTTGCGTTTCAGAGATAAAAGACTGGCTGCTACTGTACAGGGCAAAAATTTTTGTACTAGGACTATGATAAATATATACATATGTATATTAGACTGGTTCACAAAAATCTATTTTTTTTTTTAATTCGTTGTGAAATATTTGCGGGACAGTGAAAAAAGACGCCTCACAAAAGTCGCTCTTCGCGAATCATGATAATTAACTTAACATACAGTCAGCGTCAAAAATTAGAATACCCTGACTTTTTAAGGATTTTCTTTATTAATATTTTCCATAACAATTATTTTTTTTCCATAAAAACGGAGTTTATTCCACAGAAAAAAAACAGAAGAATAAATTTGTTTCAATTTCATATAGAACTCGTGAAAATTTAAGAACGACTGAAAAAATTGTATTAAAATTTTCAACTTTTCAATGAGATATAGCGAGTTTAATAAAAAAATTTCGCAAAAATTGGCCGCTGTGAAAAATCAGTAAAAACTTTGTTAAAATTAACCTCAAATATATTTTTGAGTATTCTATCGATCACGATTGGTTTGAACCGGTTTATTTGATCCAAACACCTCTCTGGATTTTTGGGCATAATCCGCAGGCCTAACATTTGATCCCCGATTGATGCCCATAAATCCAAAAATAAAGTATCGATTTTATATGCTTTGGTTGGCCTGTTTGTATGATTAGTGGTAAAATGTTAGCAGATGCAGCGCTCTGAAAAGTAAAAAATGTAATGCTAAAGTTTAAAAGAACGCCAAAAGCCATAGGGGCGATCAATTTAAATTTTGTAAAATGGGTTTTTGTTCTACAGGTAAGTTCTACATAAGGTATAATTTTAATTTTTTTTAAATGTTCAACTGATTAGTATTTAATGAAATATTGAAGTGAATGTTTTCCAAAAAACAGTTTGAAAAAAGTCATAAGTCATTTTCTCCAAGTTTCGCCAATCAAAAAATGTATGCTTAGTTCAAGATAATTATATTATAAACAATAGTACTAAATATTGAATCCGACAGTGCCCGACATTTTGTTTAAGACGCGATTTTGTACCATATAATATTGAAAGTTCCTCTGAAGATGATTTTTTAAACTACTTTTTCCAAACATTTTGATTGATAATTTCCACATATGCCAATCTTTTGTTAATTACTTACACAATAAGTTACATAAATATAACAGCACAACAGATTTGTTAAATAATAAATTTAAGAGTATTTTTTTTTTAGGGTAAGGTATTTGCGTAAAACAAAAATTGGAGGAAATTAAACGGTTCAGATAATAGTCGTTCTGCAAATATTTTTAAATGCACTGTAGGACATTACGAAAAATTTTTTGCTCAAAAATTTTGTGGTTAAAATCGTTTTTATTTTGAGATTATTTTCTTTAATATATTTGGTTTTGCGTGATCGTTATGAATGTTCTGTTGAAAAGATCATGCATTGACTTGCAACATGTTGCAAACGTTGATGTGCAACATTTGTTTTTTTTTGCTGTGAAAAAAACGATCTACTTTTTTGTGTGTTATATTTCTTTACTAAATTGTGAACCTTTTGGAAATATTGCACTTTTATGTTTCTCACTTTCAAATATTTCCATGTTTTATTGATCTTTTTTTCTGGAATTATTCAAATTCATGCCTCAAAAACTATTTTGTAGTCACTGCTCTGCTTTTAAAGCATACTAACGCATAATTGATTTTTTGGCTTAAAAAAACTGTAAATCACTCGGATTTCACTTTCACTTTCACCTTCCACTGTAACGTCTACCGTCTCACCTTTGCTCTGGATTTTTCCGCCAGAAATAAGCACAGTTGCATTATATGTTCTGCGGTAAAATTTTGCGATTTATCCGTTGCCGCTGGTGTTGCATCCCTTAGTGGTGTGCATGCCTCGCTACTCACTACCGCTGAGGCTGGTTGATTTGATGACTCAACATCAGCGCCACCATTATTACCGCCATCATCATCATCACCATCAACCGCCTTCGCTTTGGTCATATTCATTTTGATGTCTCTGTACTTCAATGCTTTGTATGTCAAACCCATTTGTTTGTTTATATTTTTTATTTGTATATCCACCTGTGTGTGTGTGTGTGTGTCTGTGTTGCCCACAAATAAGAGCAATTGTAATGATTTGTATATAAATTGTATTTTTCCGAACGCACGTACGCACGCACTGTCGAAATCCTTCCGTACTGCACAAAATCCACGCATGGAATGTCGAGTTTTTCAAACGAGTCACTATCCTTATACCCACACCAAGCACTCGCGCTCTTGCGCCGGCAGCTAACTACTCGCACACACACCATAGTCAGCAGCCAAACAAATACCAAAAAAAATATTTGTGTGGAAAGCGAAAAACATAAACATTTCCCGCCCAAAATAATTTTCAAGCGAACAACAACAACAACAGCAGCAGCTCCATATGTACATATGTATGTATGCATTTAAATTTATATTTTCCCAACAATGCCACATTGCTGCTTAAGAAGGTTCTCAACGTTCCCCAAACCACACTTCACTCCCCCACTCTGTAGGTTTGTTCTTTTTTTAGGAACTCCTAGAATTATCGTTGCTGCTGCATTTCATATGCGCTGCACTTTTGAACGATTTATTTTCTTTTGATTTTCCCTTTTGTTCATTTAAAAGTATTTTTGGTTCAATTTTGAGTTATTTTTTTCGCTTTAATGCCACATTTTTTAATAATTTCAGTTGTACATACATATGTAGTAGATATAGCGGCCAGAATCAAATTTTGAGTGGCAGCATTGAGACGAGAAAAGATTAAAGCAACAACAACAAAACATAAATACACTTTGAATAGGCTGAAACAATGCCACAGAAACACATGTTCCGCGTCTGCGTCTGCGTTGACTAAAAATAAATCACAACAAACACACGCGTGCAACATATGCAACATACACTCTTACATATATGTAAATAAATATGTATTATTAGTGTACTGTAGACTCCCCTGCAGGGAAAATCACTGGTGCCCTTCAAGAAAAGCGAACAGATAGACGACGTCTTGCAGGAAAGGCGCAATCAATTTCTATTAGAAGCTCATCATAGCGATGAAGATTTGTCTTAAAAAAGAGCTTATGAGGCACAAAAACTTGTGGAATAAAAAAGTTGCTCCTCATCACTCAACCTGAACCTTGAACCTTTTAATTGGAAGCGGTATTTATGTAGGTGGTGAGTCCGAAATCCAGCGCACAATCAGGGACTCGGGCAATAGTGGAGGTCGTATTTATAAAGCAAGTCGCTTGCTTCAAGACAGAAGCTACACCTCATGATGATCAGACATTGCAGGCTTTTGCCGGTGTCTCACTCATAAAATAAAAAAAAAACGACACCAAAAACGGAGGATAGACTGTCACTGAAAGTTCCTACAGTAATCAAATAAGACGGAGCGACTTATTGAGCTCCACATCAGGAGCACAGTGGTGGACAAGCTGACGACAACACAACAAGCTTATATCAGAAGTAAGTCAACGGACACAGTGCTCCATAAGATCGTGGCGCTTATAGAAAAATCACTATCATTCAAGGAATATAGTCCTATAGTATTCCTAGACATAGAAGACGCTTTCAATAAGATCTTACCTTAATCGGTCACCACCTCACTGACGATCTGGGCATCGATTGACAACTGGCGTTGCTTGTAGCTTAAATGCTGAGATGCATGGTAAGTTCGGCCGGACCTGATGGGGTTATCGATCAGAAGTTTTGTCAGTAGGTATACCAAATAAGACGGAGTCCTCAGAGACATGCACGAGGAGCTTCGTATTCACCATGCATGTGATGCTAAATATAGTACGCATATACACTATGGAGAAACAAAATGCTAGACTTTCATACCTCAAATCTGGATGCGATTATCATGCCGAAAGTAGTGGAATATTGCGCACCAACAATGTCCTTCGACAAAGGGTATAAGGTAAAAAGGGTATAGGTAAAATATCACTTAACGTAATGGTAGAGCAGTTTACTATCCACCTAGTATGGGTACTGGGACAAAGAGATAGTGGACGAGCTGGCATGGAAGGGCACTTTCTTTACATTTCGCTGTCTGGGAAGGGGTTGGGAATACAGGTACTTATGATACTTATGTTACCGCAACGAGCCTGATGATGGGCCTAAGTGTGCTATTGTATCCACCATTCACCCAGTAAATTATGTAGATATGATAAACTCTCAAGAAGGATAATGGGTTTTGTTTAGGCCGGTTGGCACCTGGAATGCTAATGGCTCGAATTTAAGACAGATCAGACGACCAAAAGTAAAGATTAGTGGGCCGATAATTTGATTTCGGAAGTGAATTTCAACTACATATCACCTCATCCATGTAAATCACAAAGCTGAACTTGAGAGCATCAGCCTATTAAGCCTAACCTAACCCAACGCATTTCGATCTCATTACGACTGATATAACTACATGTGTATCAACATAAATTACCTCAAACAAAGTCTAGTCCGCTTTTCCTTCTTCCGTGTTGTGCGCTGGTTGACATTTTATAATTTGTATAATTAGGTGTTTCCTGCGGGGCTGTATGTCATACGAATATAAATACTGGTTTCTTATGAATGTGACCCCATGTGCTTCATAATGCTGCACCATAATATGAAAATACTGTACATATTTGACAATGGCATTGGCATAGGAATTTGTTTTTAAAAAATCTGAATTAAAATTATGACCCATTAAAATTATGGCTTTTGTTGGGTTGTTTAGTTGGGTATTGGCACATATGTATACAAAGTAATATTTTAAACAAATTTTGAGTTGAAGTTTTTGAAATTTGTATTGCAGTTGCAATGTGGTAACCACAAATATTTCTCGAAAAGTTCGTTTGTTATGGATAGAGGCACTTTTTGGTGGGAAGCCCTTATAAGCGAAGCAGAGAAGCGTGAGGCTATGCAAGGTTTTTATATTACAGAGCAGGTAAAAGCTCATGAATCTGGTTTAAGGGGGCTAAACGCTCACTGAAGTCAGCAACGTGTGATCACCAGTAGCGATTCACAACACATAAGCACATTAAAATATTTACTGTGTCACTTTCCGATAACCGTTCTAGAAAAGGGTTCTGCGCTGGGCTTGAGACCCCGGAATAAACGAAAGCGTCAATGAAAATACACTTTGATGACCTTTTCATACGAAATAAGGCCTACGAATTACGAACATGTACTTGGAATGTCCGAACTCTGTATACACGGAACATTTCTCTATGCAATGGCTGAATGCCCTTGTCAAACGAAATAGAATCTAGGAAATGCGTCGGAACATTTCTCTATGCAATGGCGGAATGTCCTCGCTAAACTAAACATATCCAGGAAATGCGTCGGCTGAGAGACTACTGCATGAAGTATATTGATGTCATGAGAGAGCGCATACGCTTGGTGTAGGATTTGTGATTGGGCAGAGACTATGAGACCTAGTCTTCAGGTTTAGCCCCAATCCGCAATAGGGCTAAATCCAGCATAGGTTTGTGCACACGTAGGAGAAGGAAGAAGACAGAAGATCAGTTTTATGAGCGCGAAGGGAAAGCATGTGGGCGCTGAAACTGAGTTTGGTGAATTTAATGCATGGGTGGAGAAAGAAAAATATTGTGAAAATTAGGCGTAGAGACCACACCTCTGAATTTGCCGAGGCAGTACCGAAGCATCCATAAAGCCACTTGCACTTTAAAAACAAGCAACCAAATGATGACGATGTGATATAGTACTTAGGATAAATTTCGACTGTTCTTTACTTGGGTTTTATCTGAGAGAGCAATACCTGTCTCTGATCCTCTTTATAATGAAAGAAGTGCACCAGGCAGAGTGACGAAAGTTCGACGTCGAGAAGCTCTCGTTACAACGAAGTCAGATGACATGGCATTTAGATCGTCGGCTTCGATGTGAACGCAGCAAATACCATACAGGGGGCAAAGGCCTGTTACTTCCAACTAGTAAATAAATGACTTTGCCAAGGAGTACTAATAATGTCAGCCTGAAAATCAATCGTCGACTGTCCTACCAGAAATTTAAAGAGGATTTTAGAGTATTACATATAGTTATTTGTTTTTTTTTTGCTCTGAAGCCCCCACGTAGATAGATAATTAATGGAGTGTGCACATCAACCTTCAGATCTACTTATTGTGCCCTCTACTCGTCACAATGCGACGTTCAGTCTTAAAATACACAAACAGCCTAGATCTGCGTTTTGAGATAGGGAGCTTATATGTCCATCATTTGGCCACATTAAGCCTACACTTTCTCATCGTCCTCTCTCTGTGGTGTCTCCATAGCTGAGAACAATTTCTTAACTTGTGCAGATGCCTTCTTAATGGCAGTGTCCTGTGAGGATATCCGTGACAATCCAAAGTTTCTCCTAAGGCAGGTTAATAAAAAACCTGTATCTCTTTAGGTGGTACACCATCATTATTCTTTTGGCGAAGTCTAATGGTGCTTTGCGAGTTCTGCTTTCTTATTCCTATTACTTCTTTCCTGAGCTCTTCCCTGATCGCGTTGTGACCTACTTCAAGAAATGGTTCGGGACTTATCTCCCATAGTCCTGAAGCTGCCACCTCCCTGGCTAATATATCCGCTACCTCATTTTCCTATATTCCCTTGTGGCCTGGTACCCGAAGAAGCCGAATTCTCTAGAATAAACCACGAGCGATTTTACCTCAAAAGAGAGGTCGCCTGACTAGCTAACGATTATGATTTTCTAATACCCTCCGCTCTTGAATAATGCTCGAGAATTTCCACAATGTTATGTACTATTAATTTTGTACGGGCGCCATGGACGCCTGCCCCAATGCTTCTAGGGGTTTTGAGACGAATTGTGTACGATTGTGTGGTGTATGTCTCTCTAAAACACAGTCGTGCAAGGTTGGTTTGCTCTATTTTGAATTCCTTTTCGAAAACGACTGCTTTTTTATTTTATGTCTGGGAAATAGGGCTCAGAGGAGCTGGGACCCCAGCTTTCCCATATTCCTGAATTATAGGACTTTTTCCTCTACCAACACCGTCTCTTGCGAACTCTGAACTGCATTTCCAATTGCTTGTCACACAGATGTTATCTACTTAGAGGTCAGTGATGAAAAATATTTAGTAAGCACTTAACGAAAAAGAAATCAAGAACTACCAAGAGAGAACCCGAGAGTTTGCGGCGCCTGTTTTGCGAATACCCCGCACTCTGTGGTAGAGAAAGAAAGTTCATAGGCTAAGAAGTTTTCGGGGGTTTAACCCACATTAATGAGGTAGGAATACGGCAGACTCCACACGATGGATTGAATGAATGTGTGGATTTCTCAGATCCGTGTT